CCTTTAATCTTCATTGATAACTTGATAGTGCTATTAATAACCCCATTTTGTAGAAATTGAGGCACAGAGACGTCTCAGTAACTTTTACCTTTGGCCCCACAGCTAGTAAGGCCAGAAGCTGGGATTTAATCTCTGGCAGAGTGGTTCAGCTACACCATGCCACTTCCACAATTACATTGTTAATTGACATTAATATGGAAACTCTAAGTCTGTGATACATGTTTTTAATTATCCTTCTTAAACCATTTTTATAGATCTGTGGAATAGCTTCCTATCAGCTTTTAAAAAATATTATTTTCTCTCTGCTTGCTTTTTCTGTTTATGATGTGGACGTTTCTGTTGTTCCCCTTGACTAGAATATTAACTCAGAATGAGCTAGAAGGAGAGGTTTGAGTTACTTTTTTGTAAATAAAATTAATAAATAAAAACCTTGTCTCTGGAACAGTAAGAATTAATGAAGCAAACTAGCTCAGGTTATATGTGAGATTGATGTTTCTCTCAGAATGTTTGAGGAGCAGTGAAGATTGAAACTAGTATAGTAATACTATTTTGTATCTGCTTTAAGTCCTGTTTTTATATTATGACATTATTTAGTTTGCAGCATTAACTGTTTCTAAACACTTAATTACCCAAATGATGTTGGGGGTTTTCCTGTCATTTTTCTCACGGGTACCATGTTATGATACTAGTGTTTTCTCTTGGGGGAATATTTATATCTTTCTAATACACATCATTTATTTCAGACTTTCTGTAAAAAAGTATATTTTATATAAAGTGATATAGATACAGTGTTGTTTTTTGTACCCTTTTTTTAGCTAAAAAAGTAGAAGCTCCTGAACAGCTGAAAGAATTAGTTTCAGATTTATCTTCTCCATTTGTCCTCTCACCTCCTGCTCTGAGGACCAGGCGGAAGAACATGTCTAATACACCCAAATTTGTACATCAACTGGTAAGAAATGCATAATTTTATTTGTGTGTTTGTTTAAGCTTGCTTTTTATTATTTTATTTATTTTTTGAAGCAATGTTCCTCAGTAAACTTTTTTTAAAAAGAGCCTGTATTTTTATTACCCTGAAATTGCCTTGTCTACACTTTTGAGACCCTACATTTAAGAAAGATTTGTGGTGTGTTACTGATGGTATATTATTGGCAGCTGCAGTTTGAATTACTGATTAGGGGATAGATTTTTAAATTTTAGTGTCTCATCAAAATTACCTGGATGTGTTTAATTTAAAATGTGTAAGTCCCTGAACCCTGGAATGTTATCCATAGACCACACTTGAAGAGACAGTGTTTCAGAGTCGATTCCAGAGTCGATTCCATCACCTAATTACACAAAACTCTAAAATAAAAATCGTTCAGGGATTATGAGACCCTTGTATTTGCCAACATAAATTCATAAGCATTTTTTGAAATCTCTGTTATTATCTAGCTACTATGCAAGGACAGAGACTTACACAAAAATAATTCGGGTAATTCCTCGTCTTTCAGGAGCTCGGTTTAATTGAGAAGGCAGAAACACACATGATTTTATAGCATAATAAGAATCATTTATACCCAAATACCGCTGTAGACAGAAGGTAAAGGAGACAAGCATTCTTGGCAGAGAAAACAGCAGATGCAGAGGCACAAAAGCATGATGACATATGGGGG